TGCTGATTTGTGTAGCTCCCTCAATGAGGGTTCCTTTTTGGGTCCCCTATTTTGAGAGAGAGTCTGGCACACTTCCTGACATGAGGGGTTTCCAAAAATTAGGGGTATCTTATTAGGGTCCTGATTATATAAGGGGATCCTACTCTTCGGTGGGTTTATACCCCTAAACCCTAAACCCGAAACCCTAAACCCTAAACCCTATTTGGGGAGTTATTTTCGGTTCCCCTATGTTCGGAAACCCCCACATGCCAGGAATCGCTGGGAGACGCCTTTCGGCAGGATAGAGGAGGAGTCTCTGCCGGTGCCCGAGGCCCAGGAACCTCAGGCCTCCAGCCCTTCCGCTTGGTTTTCATGGGGTTTAGGGTTTAGGGTTTAGGGTTTAGGGTTCCCAGCTGGACAGGATTGAGCCTGGGTTCACAAAGGGTTTAGGGCCGGGGCTTGGAGTTGCTTGTTCCGTGGTTCAGTGCAAGTAGGTCCCTAAATTCGGAAATTTTTATGTTGCCATCACTCTCGTTCTGGTACTCTTGCCATGGCATGTTTGGCAAAAAACATGTACAAGGCATTGGCTCTGGGTCCGAAGGTTGGTTGAATCATAGGAAATCTCTCGGCAAAGACAGTTTTGTTCACCGCATGTCCTGAGGTGACGTGGACACTGCTAGTGCTGCACCCATTCACACATTCCTCGCAAGAATCCGCCACAGAGCCACATGCTCTAACAGGCCTCCAAGCCCATTCCGTGGCGCACCGAGGCTTCACTCGCTCTTCACCGGGCAGCCTGGCCTGGAAGCTTCTCGAAGAGTGGTGGCGCAATTCTTGCTGATATGTCATCTTATGCCCAAGCAGCCGACGGCAACTCGCGTCATTGCTTAGGGGAACGTGTGAAAGTGTCAAAGGAGACTGTTAACATGTTGGCGTGCAGTAGAGTCCTGAACCCTGAACCCTAAAAGCCCTAAACCCTAAAGGCCCTAAACCCTGCAAGCCCTAGACATTGAAAGCCCTAAACCTGAACTTTCTAAGCCCTAAAAGACCGAAAACCCCAAAGCCCGAAACCCTAAAAGCGCTGAGCCCTAAAGGCCCTAAACCCTTAAAGCCCAAAAGCCCTATACCCGAAAAGCCCGTGCAAAAACCTTGGCGCGGTGCTTAATCCAGTGTGCTGAATTGCTTCCTTTCGGGGCTACTTGCGTTCAAAATTGACGCTGTCCTGTGTTCCAAATCGGCGCTTTTTCCCTTGTTCCAGAATTACCACTTTTCCTTCTTTGGGTTGTGTGTTCCTTATGTTGTACTGGGTACAGCATTGGAATGTAGCGATTTCGGAGCCACTGTGGTGTTCAATGGCAGTTGTACTTCTGAGTTCATGGCCATTGCCATGTGAGTGTTGACCTTCATGAGACACCCGAGCTACACAACAGCCAGCAAAACGCCAGAAAGCCTCAAGACCAAGGTATGGCGATATACCCCAGTGTGGCGGGACCGGCCCAGACCCAGTGCAAATTTGGGTGCCGGCCCCAATGCAGGGCTTCCTGGGATTGGTATGGGCCTGGCGGAGATTGGGGTCTCAGAACTGCCAAGGAGCAGGGGAACGACTACATCAGGGAAAACTTCCCGCAGTGCGACTTTGCCGACCTGGCCATGTCTTAGAGGGTCTAAGTACATTACGCGTTCAGATGCGTTCAGGTGAGCATGCCTCCATCATGCCTGCAACCAGAACCTTGAAGAGTGCGACATTTCGGGAATGGTGGAATGGCAAGTCCATGCATGACAGATTGTTGTAGATGAAGGTCCCTGCTGTTTAGGGGAGCCTTTTGATCTGGGGCCCTCCTACAAAACACGCCCTTTCTTTCAATGTCATGGCATGCTGCCAGGTCGAATCTGCCCAGTGGCTGCAGTGATACAGCTGCAGATTGCGGCGAGGATTTGTACATAGAGGGCGAGGGGGAGAGGGGGAGAGGGGGAGAGGGGGCGAGGGGGAGGGGCACCGGCAGATGCACAGCAATCACAGCTTCCTTTGCATCATGAAAACAGAATGGCACCATCCGCCGAGGAAACAGCCCGTTGAAACCCTGTGCCTGATGTCTTGAACCCCATAAGAATCTAAAACCTAAACGCTACATACACTTCATCTTAACATGAATATTGCCACGAATTCTATTTTATGTTAGTAATATTATAAAAATATGCACCCTAAGCTTGATCCTGGGAACTGTTCGCCCGGACAGCCAGACGGTCACGTCGCGTTCCAGACTTGCAAGCAGCGGTTGGTCCTCCAACCGCTTCGGGTTTCTTTCTTTGGGGTTTCGGGTTTGGGGCTCAGGGTTTTGGGCTTAGGGCTTAGGGGCCTTGGGTTCTTTTTATAGCTTCGGGGTGTCTTTCTGTTGGGGATCGCTGTAAGCTGCTTGGTTTCGATCACTTTGGGTGTTTGGTCTTTCGACTTTCGAATTTGACGCAGAGACTTCTTGACCAGAGGGGCGCGCGGTTCCGCAGAAATATGACGATCGGGGCTCCAGGTTTTTAGGGTTTAGGGTGGGTTTAGGGTTTAGGGTTCAGGGTTTAGGGTGATTACTGCAGGGTGGCTTTGCAGGGTTTGGGGTTACAAGACGGTCACAAGCACCCTAGACCCTGAGCCCTGAAAAGCACTTAAAGTAGCAAACCCACCACCGCCACTAGACACCTGATACGTTTCTACGCCCTTAAAACCGTGTGGCTTGGGACCTACAGCTGAGGTTTGTAAACCAACAAGCCCGATTGTAACCCTACATTCCCAACCCCTTAAAAACCCTCCCCACTAGCCACAGGTTCCTATCCAAACCCCTGATTCCTCCAACCTGGCATCCTGGACGCCTAACCCCTAAAGGCTTGTTTAGGATGTGGGGTCAAGAGTTTTTTGGGGTTTACGTAGGTTATTGGAGAGTTTCAAGGTCCAGGGCTCATGCTTTCGGGCTGTGTATCAGAGTTAGGGTTGCATGGATCGAGATCCCCCAGTGCCACCGTATACTCTTCATTGTTGCATTCGCCTTAAACATCGTTAAGCCAAAGTGGGTACCCCCTTAGTTCCTGGGTTACATCGGGAAGCTGCTGTGTTGAAAGGTAACCTCTTACTCCTACCCGTGCATTGCGCCCTACATCAGAGGCTTTCCTTTCATGACTCCGCCAGTTTTTTGGGCTCAGAAGGCCAAAGCGAAGATGTCTACTCAGTTGTCTACCTTACAGCGCGCAACTGGCGATTGAGCTGAGGGATGGCGAAGAGAAATGATGTTAATGTTCAGCTGCTACGAGCACAGAGAACCCATGGCACCAGTCATGTCCCCCGAAAGCCCAGACAGTTTTGTGGATGCCCAAGACGCCATGGGTTGCAAATGCGTCCGGCTCAGGTGCGGCCCAGCCAAGTATTATTGCTATGGTGACTCTGAGCCAGAGCATGGGGAGACTCCTCAGAAGTCCCACTCTCTCTCCAGGAAAATGGTGACGATGAGCAAGAGCACTGGGAGTCACTGCTAGAGCTCTGCGAAGGCTATCGCGGCTCGGCTGCAGTTTGAAGCCACTTGCAAGCCTTGGGATGGCGCAAGCCTTGGGATGGCTCTCGAGCAGCACCCCCCCCCAAGCCCCCAAGGGCTCTTGAACAGCGTTCCCCTCTTTGAGGGGAAGGGGGCCCCAAACACGTTCAGACGTTCAGGGCTGAAAGAGATGTTCTAAGGAGGGTCATTTCACCATTGTTGGGTGCTACATGCCGAAGGTACTGCAAAGTGACATTCACCCTTCATGAGAAATCACCAGTGCGCCATCGAGGGGCTTTGAAACCGGGGACTTCGGCTCGGTTAGTAAAGCCTCCAGCTACGGAAACCGAGCCACAGGTGAGTTGCACGCTGCAGAGCCACCACTGGAACGCCGAGCCTTGTCCTGGGGCAGGCTGTGAATTGAAATGAAGAGGGAGCTGGCACTATTAGGTTGAGGGCTTTAGGGGTATAATCAATTCCCCCTTGTATCAAACGTACCCCCAATTATCAAAACACTTTCCGGCAAAGCCTCCTGAAATCACCCCCACAGTTTAAAACCCATTCCGAATTAGGGGGTGGGTTGAAGGCTCCCAAACCCTCAGTGAGTGAGTGTGAGTGCGAGTGCGAGTGCGAGTGCGAGTGCGAGTGCGAGTGCGAGTGCGAGTGCGAGTGCGAGTGTGAGTGTGAGTGTGAGTGTGAGTGTGAGTGAGTGGCTGCAAAGCCTCTGTCTCAGCCTTGCTGTGCTGCGTGAGTGGAACGCTCTCTCTCTCTCTCTCTCCCTGTCTCTCTCTCTCTCTCTCTCTCTCTCTCTCTCTCTCGCTCGCTCTCGTAATTACCCTGAAGCCTAGACCCTAAACCCTTTGGACCCAAAACATGACACTTGGATAAAAACATTCACCTAGTAATAAAAACACATTTCGAGTTTCTTTTGGGGGGGGTATATAGTTAGAGCATACCTTGCCTATTTAGGCTATCGGCACCACCCACCCCCCAAAGTTAGAATACAATCTTAGGAAATCATCCTATTTCCCAATACCCATATCTACCTAGGTGCCATAGCCCAAAATAGGCAAGGGGTTCCTTATAGAATTTGGTTGATGGTTTGGAGTGAAGGCTCATCTAGCGAACGTGCCCTGCAAATGTCCGTGACGCGCCCTCGGAGCATCGGTTCCGGCACAGTACCAGAGAGCTGCTATCGCCAGATTTATTCCTTGTAGAATCACAGTGGCAGCACGATGACTTGGATGCGACCTCACCAGCGGCACCCACAATGCCATCCACGTGATGAGACGAGGTTCTGCCTGCATACCTCTAGAAATGGCGGACATTTGCCACGCATGTTTCCCACCCCGCATGCTCGTTTGTGTGACACTCCGAGACTTGGCTCAGACTTGCATGGCTGACGCGCGGTAGCCGCCCCAAGCTTGACAAGGTAGGAAGCCGGAAGCTATGGGATTCCTTCCATTTTGTTGTGATGAACCCTCGTCGGAGAGTGAATCCTCGTCGGAGATGGAAACCTCGTCGGAGATCGAACCCTGGGCGGAGATCGGAAATGTGCCCTTGTTTGAGGTTAACAAAGCCCTTCAGGGTCTCCGCGAGGGTGTCCGCTGTGATGATGGCCGTGTCAGAGGTCTGGACGACATAGCTTTGATGTGCTCACCAGAAACAAGTTCCATGGATCCGGTGTTAGCCAGAAGGTATGTCATGCTATCTGCACGCTTCGACAAGCAGGCAGTCCACCGTGTAAAAGCCCGTTTTTGACAGTTGCACAGCGGAGTTTGATAATTAAGTTAATCGGACAGCCTGCGAGGCATGCTAGAGTCTGAGTCTTTTTGCGTATATACTTCCCATAAGCCGACATGGACCCTTGAAGGACAACGTTGAGTACGTGAAGATGCTTTCAAAGCAGCTTACACGCATCGGCATTCGCAACATCTTTGTCAACACTGCAGGGGATTTCGGAGTAGCGACTGATGCTTGCCTTGCGCAAGCAAGAATCTTGCTGGCTCTGTGTACTTCGACGTATGGGGAGAAGACCACAGGCACGTACGAGACTTACATGGAGCTGAAGTACGCAAGGGAACACCCAGGACATGTAAGGCTTGTTCCTGTCAAGCTACATCCCAAATATCCACCTGAGCCGCCCGGACCTGAAGAGGGGCGGAATCAAAACCAAGTTGCTTTCTCTCCAAGCCTTATATACATCAATGGGATCAATGAGACTTCCAGCGGCACGTATTGCAAGGTGCATCCTAGACAGCTGGCCATCGACATTGCTCGGCACATCCATGACTTGGGCCTGTGGTCCGATGTCTACGAGTCTACTGCATCCAAGTTTTCCAATGATGACTAGGAGTCTACTGCTGATCGTCCGATGATCGTCTGAGATGATCGTCAGGATCGACGTGGCCGCTGCTGCCTAAGTGCAATCGGGCCTGTTGACAAGACAGACTCTGTCCGCCATTTCTCACTCAGCGAACCAAGAAGGAACACATATCCCTGAACGTAATGCTCTGCTGTCTGCTGTGTAAAGTTGTCGATTCCTCTCCCTATACAAACTCCTATATTGAGATGAGATGATCTCACCCCATGCTGCCGCAAGAAGCAGGATAGCAATGTGTGCAAAATATTTTCCTTGACGCCATAAGTGTTCCGCACCTCAGTCCTGATACTAGTTTCCACGCTAGCATGCAGCCAAGATGCCAGGAGCGGTGAACATGACGAGAAGCACAACATCAATCCTCGTACCCTGACTGAGCGCTACACACGGGACAACCTCTACCTCTGCCAGTGCCTCGGGAATATTTCTAATAAAACAATACAAACAAAGTACAAAAAAAGAACCGCAACATTTGGAAACATAACGGCTTTAAAACGATAAAAACACCAAACGCACAACAACAAACTTTGGGAAAACCTGTGCACAAACAACCGAGGAAAAATCAATACAACATAAAAAATCAAGTTGCGGAATGATTGGGGTTTAGGATGACCACCAACCATAACATTATAATATTGATAATGTTATGCTTGTTTAATCCGTTAAGTCAAACCCAGATTTATTCAATAGTGTTCTAACAGTTTTGTTAAAATCATACGGTGTAGCACTAACATTATATTTCATTTTGTATTGTATCCACGTTTTTATTTCTTCTTTGTCACTACAATACATCATTTCATTAAACAATTTCTTAAACATGTTGTATCTCTTCATAGTTATGTTTGTGATCACATGTTTGACTGAATCACAAAGTGGAAACAAACGATCCAAGCTTAAAATAAGCTTATCAACATCAAATAAGCATAAATCATTCGTTTCAAGTCGTTCTTCTAATGCTTCCTCTTTTTCTATGGTCTTTTCGCATTTCCAACACCGATAAGTAAAGCCATAGATATTATTAATAATATTTTCTGGAAGTGGCAATTCGTATAACGTGCAATAAGATCTCAGCTTTCAAGACCAGCGTGCCAAGACCCCGAACTTCCACGAACATCAAAGCACACTGCACCCGCGTTTTAGTTTCACAGCTCAGGGGTATGTATATGTATAGGTACATTTCTGGTTTGTTCAGTATACATATATATGTATATATATATATATATTTTGTTTTTTGTTTATTTATGTCGTGCACTGCATCATGTATGCCCACAATACGAACGAACCCGCCCGACACCCTGAGCAGCGAGGTGTCCGCGCCCGACGATGTGGTCAAACAATGTGGTGGGCGGTGACCAGCTCCTGTCTCAGCTTCATCGGGTGGATGTAGGGTTTTCTGGCTGGTTCTTCGTCGGGAATGAGGGAATGAGGGTCCTGTATAATCCTTAAAGGGTATTTATATAGGGCCCTAATTCCCGCATTCCCTTCTTTGAACCAGGGGGTTTTAGTAGTACCAGGCAGTCTCATAGGCCGGATGCAAAAGGGTTTAGGGTTGAGGTTAAGGACGCAAGAAGCTTGATTCATGTTTGGGGGGTCCTTGTTATAAGGGTGCCAAATTCCAATACTCCTTGAGCTATTTCGTATCACGCTCCTGGCCGGGTTTTCCCTGGGCGTCGTATATCCCAAACCCTCCAGCAGCCCTGGGCAGAGGAGGGGGTTTCCGAAACTATTGGGGTCTTTATTATCAGGGAACCCCTAAACCCTAAACCCTAAACCCTAAACCCGACATGTCGGTGGACCATTGTTAGGGGTCCCTTATTTTCGTAGACCCCCAGGATGGTCATGGAGAAGAATGACAATGGCAAGTGGGGTATCAAGCATGTCCCGGCCTCAAGATTGCCCTCTCCCTTTGTTTTTGTTTTTTTTTGGTTTAGGGTTGAGGGTTGAGGGTTGAGGGTTGAGGGTTGAGGGTTGAGGGTTGAGGGTTGAGGGTTGAGGGTTTAGGGTTGGGGTGTTTAGGGGTGGGCGGGGGGGGGGGCCTTCGGGTTCGAGACACCAGACAAGCCCTCCAACCATGTATCTTCTTATTTTAGTCGTGATGGCACGTGAAGGGCTGCATGGTTCGAGGCTATGCAGGGACGTTTAGGGAAGCTGGTTGGGCCCTTATGACCCCTACAGATCTTTTCATACATTCTTGTGAAACAGTGCCTGCATGATATTTCAACAGTACTGCAGCGATTCGTTCAGGATGCTGCAGGTTGAGGGTTATCTTAAGTTGGGCTGCACATTCCACATCACTTTGGCATGGCCCTTACACGCCGAAGCCCGTCCAAGCCATCCTTCAAATCGATCCCAAACACTCCTTTCGTTTGGGTTTTGAGGTCATTCGTGGAGACGGCCCCTCCGTTCCGCCCAGAGCTCAGGGTGGACATGCAGATATTAAAACCGACATGGACATCGCAATCAAGTTCGTCAGACGAGTGCTTGCATGGCCTGCAAGCACGCCGTCCACCCAAGATGGGCTGAAGCACCACCCCAACTGATTCCATAGACTCTTCCCCTACACGTCCTTCACCCTTTGAGCCTTAGAGGTTCTTCCGCCTGTTGAAGCCTTTCAGGACCCACACCCCCACCACCATTCCGGAGTGCTTGCAGAAGACGGCTGAAGACGTCGCACTCCTGCCACTTGTTGCGCTTTTAGATGTCTGAGGACCACCTGGACCGCACTTGTACCGCCTTACTTGGAGAATCTGATCCTATCCCCAGAGCCTACTGACCCATACTTTTTAGACTGCAAAACCGTCCGGTTCATGTCTGACTGGTCTTCGATGGGTTCAGGGGACTATAGCATCGCTGCGTCACACGTGAGGGCATCGACACAGCCGATGTAAAGCCCTGTTCAGCCGGTGCAGGATAAACCCTGCCGAAACCCGCCAATCCCAAAAGAAACTCGGAGAGAGAAAGGTGCTGTGAAGAGGCAGGCTGAACAGTCCAAAGCCCTTTTTTTCCAGGTTGTTGTTGCAAGGCCTCATGCGTTGTTTGAGTCAGAGGCAAGATGGCTACCGACAAAACAGCAGGTGTTGGGTTGTTAGGGTAGATGCCGGGTAGATGAGCGAAGTGAGGGGGTTCCCACCGATACATGCTGCTGAGCCCTTCAAGAAACTGAGATGTTGAGGGCTCCTCCACAAAACCCACCCACTCAAGCCAGCTCCGGCTGAAACGACTTCAACCCTAAAACTCGCAAGCCTTCAACAAAACTTTAAACCAGTAAAGCTGAGTACTACTCAGATCCGCAAGTTCATCCTTGCCCCACCCCCCCTCCACCCCACCCACCCACCCAGCTGCAAGAGACAGAATCCTGGAAGTTGGGGCTCACGAAGTTGCACTGGCCAGGAGCAGGACTTGCGTCAGCCACACGCCGGCGCGACCTGTTGCCAGTCACAGGCTTATGTGTGGCCAGACCTCCACCTTGACATAAGGGAGCTGAGTTTGGCGAAATGGAAGGGCAAGCTCAAGGGCCCTGCTAGGCAATGTTGTTGTTGTTGTTGTGTCGTCTGGGTGCTTGCGTTGAGAGAAGGGAGCCGCAAGGCAGGTGCTGGGGCTTGAAAAAACTACTCGAAACCTGCCATGCAGATGACATCAGCACACCCGCCTGAACCCAAGACCCCACGCACCCAGCATACATCCAAGCTATCCGAGTATGCCAAAACCCCAATGCCATGAACCCTGAACCCAGTACCCTACCCTGCTGCCCTAAACCCTGAACCCTCCAGTGGCCCCACAGTGCGGCGCGAATCCGTGAACTCATAGCCCCGGTGGTGCAAAGCCACCTTCGCGCCAGGTCTGCCGTGTTGAGTTGAAGACAAGCAACATGGCTTCTCCTAAGGCTTCCTTCCCCTGGTGATTGTTGTGAAGTATGCTTAGGTTTGCACCGGGTTTCGAGGTTGGAGGACCTCAAGTTCGGCGACTGGAGCAGCTGGTAAGATCCCAGAAGCCATCCCGCAGCCTCTCTTGATTTGATCCCTCTGCTCTCTGTAGCAGTTCTCCAACAAGAAGGTCCACAAAAAGCCGTAGGAAATGGACCATGATGTACCCCCAAACAGAGGGGGACCATGAGGGATGTTTCGAGAAGTGCCGAAGCTCGCCAAGGTAAGGGACTCCTCAAGATGAGGTGGGAAAGAGTTGGGGGTGTGGGGTGCTTTAAGGGTGTGTGGGCCTTAAAGGGGGTTATGGGGTTCATACAGTAGGGTTCATAGAACTTGTGCTGAGGGCTTAGGGCTTGCAGGGCATTTATAGGGATGCTTCGGACTCAGGCGTAGGTTCTTGAGTCTTGAGGAATGTTGAAATCTGAAACACATGTGGTTTTGACTGTCTGAAGCAACCCCCTGCCCCCCGGCCAAATGAGGCATGCTTGGGGCCTTATTTTGTGTGTGTGTGTGTGTGTGTTTTGCCAAGGGGGGTGGGGAGCGGCTGGGTAGGAGCTCGCTGCGGATCTCTTTTGAAGCAAGGCGGAGCCTTCTTAGCCGAAAGGCCTCCGAAAAGACCCTTGCAAAGGCCCCACAAAGGTGTTAGAGCCTCCAAAATCCAAGCTTTGTGGTCAGGGTGTAGCATGTTGATGTCCCCCCTTGTATGGGAACAGCCCTTCAGCGCATCAAAGAAAGGGCAGGAGGATGCAGAACCACCTCCTGCAAACCCTGCGCTCGGTCGAAATGGCCAGGGTGGTCCCGAGCTGGGCACCATTGGGCACCCAGCGGTTTCTTCAGCTGGTCACGGATAAGTGCTCCGGTGCATGTGCTTGGGGCCCTGGGGAGTCGGTGCAGAAGTCAGGGCGAAGTCGGCACTTTCCAGACATTGGGGCCCGTGGGGTTTGGCTTGCAGAGAGCTTGTGGATTTGAGCCACAGGGCTCGGCTCTTAAGGGACTAAGAGTTGAGGGTCATATGATTGAACCTCAGCAGTCCCAAGTTCGCTTACAGGT